CAAATCAAATGTAATGATAAAAAAGTTGAATAGATAATCTAATTATAATTTTACATGATGTGCCACTCTACTTTATAGACTTATTTAATTATTTAAGAAAAAATTTAAATAAAAATATTTTGAAGTGCAATATTTATGTATTAAAATTAATTAAAACCTATATTATATTTATCTTTAAATTCTTTAAAAAACTTTAATATTATTTTATCAAAGATATGACCAATTTTTTATCCATTTAATTTACAATAAAGGGTTATTTGTTTTGTTGAAAAAGAATATAAAATAAAAAAATATAGTGTAAAATAAATTTATGTGTGCTGAAAACATTTTAAAGTTATTTTGCTAAGCGGAGAATTTGTTGCGGGGAAGTGGATTTTTTTCATAAAACCGTTGTTTCGGATCAAAATTGGATTGGTGGGTCAACCTGAACTTGTTCAGTTTATTAAATGGGTCAAAATTCTAGATCCAAATCCAACTCATCTATTAAACGGGTCAACTGCAACCCAAATTTTTTTATGCTATATTTAAATGGGATCATTTGTTGACACCTCTATCCTAACTCCATCCAAAGCTAGTGGGGAAGCTACTCGTTGCAATTTTTTTTGTAACGGGGTATCATCCCGCTATCACCTCTAAAAGAGAGCTCGGCGTCGTGACTAATCTTCGGTTGACTTAGAAAAGGCACCCACCACAAAAATCTCCTAACCCGCAATTGATTGTGTCCCACTTAAGAGGTGCTATAGCTCGAGGTGAATTGAGCATGGGATGGAGGGTTCTTAACCGTACTCGTCCACCAACCAAACTAAGCAACTATAGTTCTTGCAAAATATTAGCAAACTAAAAATAAAAAAAAAGCTTTCTCACCCCTAACGGCACCCACATTGAGATATTGCCATGTGGAAGTCCCCATTGGGAACTTGTCAAAAATAATGCGCACTATCATAAACTTTACTAATTGTTTAATATATTTATTTTAATGTGATTATGCTATATAGAATTTACAATAATATATTCAAAAATCAAAAGCAAATGAATATAAACGGAAGGACGTGAAAAGTTGTTTGATATAGATAAAGAGTATGACAATATTTGTGATAATAGAAGAAAATAATAATTTTTCGTCTTATTTTTGTATGAAAATTTTATCACGTGGGCTATACAATACATCAAAATTTTTACATCAAAAAAATCAAAAAGAAAAAAAAAATATTACGCTCTTTGCAGTTGAAATTATTTACCATATAAGTAAGATTATAAAAATTCGATATTCACTTCAGGCTTCATTTGAGATGGTTTTTTTATTGCTTCTTAAAACATAATTTTAATACAAAAATTCATTTTAAGAATCAATAAAAAAATCGTACCAAACGAAGCCTCAATTAGAGATGAAAGCACTAACCCTAAATCTCTTGATAATCTATGAAGAACTTAACGACCCCAAACATTTCTCATGCTAAACCAACTACTATTCGAGTGTTATGCAAGTAAGTTTTCTTATTCTAAGGCTTGGTTTAGGACAGCTTTCTTATTACTTCTAAAAGCAGCTTTTTAATATAAAAATTTTCTTAATTAGAAAATTTTATACTAAAAAACTGCTTTAGAAAGTAATAAGAAAGCTATTCCAAATAAAGCCTAACTCACTTGATAGGAGGTAGCCTATGGATTATGGTAGCTACTCAAATTCTTTAGATGATGTGGCATCATAGCACTCTATTGTTAAAACCCGGTTGACCCGAGACAATAAGATTATGGGAGATTTACATACATACCACTTAATACTACTCTATTTACATATTTAACATCTAAAACTTTAATATTACATACATACCACTCATAGTTCATTTTCATACCAAATATGAGTGGTAGAAATGAAATATATGAGTGGTAGGAAAGAAATATAAGTGGTATACTTGAAATTAAAATAATATAGAGTGGTATGCATGTGATATTAAAGTTTTAGGTGTTAGATATGTAAATAAAATGTTATAAAGTGGTATGGATGTAAATTTCCCTAAAATGATATGATATTGATCGATAATTAAAACTAATTAGTAATAATTTATTGGGCAATGCCAATCATATTAATAAACTTAGTCCTAACAATATAAAATAAATAAATAAGTCCCCGGCTATGCACACAGATGAAATTATTTATCATCAATTTGCCTCTCAATGGTGCTATAAATTTTTAAATAATTAATAGGCTAAAGTTGGGAGCAAGAATTATAAATCTAAGAAGAGCAAGTGTGCATAAATGATGACTATGAGACAAATTAGATTAAATATTCTAATAATTTTGTATTAGAAAGTAGCTTTAAGAAGCAGTAAGAAAGCCGTCCCAAACGAAGACTAAATCTCTTGATAATCTATGAAAAACTTAATGACCCCAAATGTTTCTCATGCTAAACCAACTACTATTTGATTGTTATGCAAGTAACTCTTCTTATGCTAAGGCTTAGTTTTAGACAGCTTTCTTATTACTTCTAAAATCAGCTTTCTACTATAAAAAATTTCTTAATTAGAAAATTTTATACTAAAAAATTATATAATATTGATCGATAATTAAAACTAATTAGTAATAATTTATTGGGCAATGCCAATCATATTAATAAAACTTAGTCCTAAGTCCTAACAATATAAAAATTAAATAAATAAGTCCCCGGCCATGCACACAGATGAAATTATTTATCATCAATTTGCCTCTCAATGGTGCTATAAATTTTTAAATAATTAATAGGCTAAAGTTGGGAGCAAGAGTTATAAATCTAAGAAGAGCAAGTGTGCATAAATGATGACTATGAGACAAATTAGATTAAATATTCTAATAAAAAATATAATAAATATAAAAATTATTGGGGCATTAATAAATAAATTGGTATAATAAATAGATATGAACCTCTCAGTTGATCCGTTTAATAAATGGGATAGTTTTGAGCCTGAAATTTTAATCGATTTAATTGGGCGGGTCGAGTTTGGGTTGATCTCAGACCCAATAATAACCCTTTTTCGCCTTATTTTTTTTTGCTTTTGGTGTGCTTTTCTTATGTTTGATTAATTAATCTAAACTCTATAATTGATAAGTTACAAAAATTTTGTTAATAAAAAATGATTATTGGGTTGGGTTCATATCATTCAGGTTATTGACATGTTAGGTTTAGATCCACATTTTTTATCCATTTAAGAGCGATCTCCAATCTCTCTCTTTTTTCCTTAAGCTCTGGGGGGTCCTCTTTCAAGAGAAGAGGGGGCTCTATTTATAGATTTTGGGGAATGACATAGCCCGTAAATAGGTGGAGGATCAAGGGTTTATTGGGAGTGGTTGAATGGACGGTCGATCTTGAATCTTACGATCGTGCACCTTTTGTTGGACATTTGAAGGTCTTAGAGATGTCGGAATTCGACGATCTTGGACTCGTTGGATTCGTCTCGTCGAGCCGTTCGATTCGAAATAAATTATATTATTATTATGAATATAAGCATCATGCAAATTTTTTTCTTACAAATATGCACCTTGCAATTTTTTGCCCTTTATCCACGTTGATTATCTCTTTCTATATACATCATTTATTTTAGGAAAAAAAAAATTGATCGTAATATTCTCTATAATTTTTAACAAATTTGGATCTTAAAAATATTAAATTTATTTTGAGATAAATATATTATTTTTTTACTAATTCAATTTTAGCACACTAATAATTCAGAGATAAATAAAACAAAAGAATTTGTACCGTACATGGCAGTGCACCTTTTTTAAAGTAAATTTGTGACCAAGTTAAAATTAGCTTATTAATAAGATTATCATTAACCAATAAAATATTAATTATTATTTTTTAAATAGTGATACTAAATAAATAAAATATCAATTATTAGATGTGTATTGTTGTGTACTAGCTAATACATAATAATACACAGTAATACACAGCTAAATTCATAATAATACACAGTTAAATTCATAGTAATACTTAGTCCACGCGGCATATTTTCATTGTAGGCCAGACGTAGCTTCTATAACTGTTGTCCGCACGTAATAATTTCTCTAGGTTATAATTAAACAACTTACTATTGAAATTCAAACTTGAAAAGACTTGAACAAGAGATTTCTAGATTCTAGATTCGAGTTATAAATTGACACCTCTAACCAATAACCATCTTTAACACGCAGCTCCAATTCTTTGGTTTTATACAAAAATCGAACAAGAGGGATTGAAAAATTACTAATATTATAATTTTAATTAAAACAAATTTTAAAAAGGAGATGCATTAACATTTAAATTAATTATATGAGCATCATCTTAAAATAATTTAAAAAGGAGCAAACTAATTAAATCATTTGGTAGCGTTTTCAAAATGCACTAACCAAACCAACTAGTACATTCTGAAAACGCCACCAAACGATTTAATTAATTTGATCCTTTCTAAACTATTTTAACATGATGCTCCTACAGCTAATTTAAATGTTAATACAACTACTTTTTAAAATTTGTTTTTTTAATTAAGTATTGGCCAACTCTGGCTTCATTATTTTAATATATTGATAATATAATTATATAAGGAATTTAAAAGTTTTTAAAATTCCAAGATTTGAATTGACGAAAATATAGCGACTTGCTCTGTCTTCCTTTATTTATGATAGCTTTTAGGAGAAGGTTGTATGGATTCCTGTATATACTCTACCATAGCGGCATTCAACTCCGGCTTCAGTCCACAGAACCAAAGCTCTCTCTTTTTAATCTCTTAAGGTTAGCTATCTCCTTTTTCTCTAAAAAGTTTGAAACTTTGAATCTTCAGCGATGTGGGAATCTTTCATTTTTCCTTTTTTTTTGGATTGTTTAGCTTTGTGGCTTTAGGTCTTCTTCGCGGGTCTCTCCTCCTATCTGCATCAAAAAAGCATGCGTGTGTGAGAAAGAGAGAGAGATAGAGAGCTCATCATTTTTTTTTTCTTTAAAAATAGTCCATTTTGATAGAGTGTGGAAACCATTGAAGCTTTCTGTTCCGTAAGAACTATTCCAATAACTTTGTCCTGTTGTGAAAGAATTTGGAAGTTTTGTAGATTGATGTTTCTTATTCAGTTAAATGACAGGGAATGTATTTCATTAAAAAGTTTTGTTGGTTTTCTTGTTGGGTTTCCTTTGAAATTGAGGTTTGAGGATTCTCTGAAAACTTTTCTGTTTGGTTTTTTAATGGTTAATTCTGCATGCATATAAACTTGTCTTGCAATTTTTTTTCCCTTTCTTTAAATGTTCTTAGAATTGTGAGGTTGAATGCTTATGTTTTCTGGTTCAATTGTTTCTGAATCTTTGAAGGGATTCAATCCTCGAAGAGAATTATTTATTTGCTTCTTCTCACAAATTTCCTTCAGAGCTTAGGTCCAATCTTGCAGGAGTTCTATGCTACAAGTAGGATTCAGTAATTTTTTTAAATCCAGATTTAGTAAATCCAGGCGGTTTTAAACCCTTAATTTTCTTTGTGATGTTAGATTTTTAGTTTTGGTTAAATTCTGGTAAATTGTTTGCCAGATATTTTCAAGATTTGGGGGTTAAATGAATGAGAAGAAGAGGCACATTGAGTAGAAGTGATTTAAATCTGTTAGATACTACTTCGGATAGGATTTAGATTAACAAGGGAAGGAAGTGAGATAGAAGAAGATAGTATGATTTATGTGGCTAAAAAAAACTTTTTAGCTATATTTAGCCTAAATCCTAGCTAAATTGGCCACCTAAATCCTAGCTAAATTGGCCACCAAGCAGCTCCTCTGGGCATTGAAAATAATGAAGTCTTCTGTTCTATCTTAACCTTTGTGTTGTTTGATTTACTGTTAATGAGGTTTATTTATCCACTTTTTTTGTTGAAAATCAAACGTTTTTTTTCAAAAAAATAAGCTGTTTTCAATTTGTTTTGCTGAAGTATTCATCTTTTTTAATGCTATATATGTTTCAAATTTCCATTTGGCATGTTTTGATCTACCAAATCCTTGTTCAGATTCTTAAATTTGAGTTTGTTGGCCTTCCTATTAGAAAGCAAAGCTCTTATTTAAGGTTCATTTGAGACAACTGTAGTTCTTTGTAAAATATTTGAGGAATTTGTTATTGAGAAGTGAAATTTTGTAAACCCGTTGCAAGTCTTATAGTTTTTTTTCCTCCAGGCAAAAGTTAAAAAGTAGTTTTTTTTTGCATCTATTGCACTCTAGTAGCTCTAGTTATGAAGAAGTTTATCTATGTGACTTAGCTTTCTTACTGCTTCTTAAAATAGCTTTCTAATAAAAAAATTATTTTTTTATTAAAAAACTTCCTTAAAAAGCAATAAAAAGCCTTCCCAAAAGAAGCCTTAAATATCTAAACTACAATAAGAAAACTATAGTCAAATAGAAGTGGGAAACAATATGTGAAGTAAAGCTGTGAAAAAGTTGTCTCAAAGACTCAAACGAATCCTAATTTATTGTTTCAATCTAACTTTGTGTTTTTATTATCCTTGAAGGTGTAGGTGAAGCAAAGTCATCATGACTTTCCAAATTGAGAGCGAGGAAGCAATAAAAAAGAAGGTTCTTAAAATTTTCTAGATTTATTTTTTTAAAAAAAGTTTGTATGATTGTTTGAATTGTTTAATTAGTGCTTACCTGTCTTTTAAATACCCAGGGAAGAACTGTTGCCATGGTTGTTTGTTGGTTCCTTGGAAATGGTTCTCTAATTGCATGGAATAGTATGTTAACTATTGAGGATTATTACGTTAAAGTGTTTCCGGTATGCGACTCTTTGAACTCTTCCTTGCTTATTTTTGTACTTACGTCTGTCATGATTTTGTGAGAATGTCTTTACAGTCTTGCATATATATGTCCTTAGAGTTATAGTCCTTTTAGTCATGAAAAATACAACATTATGTCAGGAATTAAACAAGATCTAATTCAAATTATTCAGAGCAAATAAAATAGAAAGAAGGTAATCGTAGAAAGTACACCAAGAATTCTGTAAGGTTCTCCCAATTAAGATGTATGTTCTGATGCCGCCATTGTAGATTTCACTTTCATAATGTTGGTAGGGTTTCATTGAGGAATTTGCTACCCTAATACTTCATAATTCACTATGATAAGGCATTTAAAATAATAATAATAATAATAATAAATGAAAAAATATTTTTGTAGGGCATTAATTAGGCTATGTAAGTTAACATATTGCCACAAAAAATAGTCATTCCAACAATTTTTTTTAAACATCTTGTGAATTGTAAATGTTTATTTAGTTCTAACTTTAGGCTGTTAGTACATTGTAAATTAAATGTATTGTATTTGAAATATTTGGAATTGTTTGGATGAGTGTAAAATATATGCATGTGATTAACTTTAGGCATAGAATTTGATGTGTTTTTGGAAATTCAAATCTCATTATTTTCAAATACATGAAAATTAAACTAGATGGTGAATTACAAATAATTTAAAATTTTATTTTGCATTACTTTTACTTCAGACCAAATGCCAATATTTTCAAAATTCCTATATTTGGGATACTTTACACCCCTTTTACTTTAAACCAAAAAACCTTAGTTTTTATTTGACGTTCAACTAGAATCATCTGCTAATTAAGTTTTTTGCTGAAATTTACTAAATTCTGGACTTATTTTCTGTTGCCGGTGCTTTCAAAATTGTATTATTTATGTTAGCTACACGGAATGGGATAAAGGTTTGATGTTGTTGTTGTATGTTACATTGTTCCAAAATACACCGATGTTTATGTTTGTAGACTAACAGAATAGAATATTCCCTGCATCTATACAAATGGTATTTGTTTACCATAAATTATGATTTACTGAAATATTATCTTGATTTTTTTCTCTGATTGCAGAGGTATCACCCAACAAGAGTACTTACTATTGTTTATCAGCCTTTTGCCTTTGTTACTGTTGCAATACTTGCATATAATGAAGCAAAGCTCAATACCAGAAAAAGGAACTTATTTGGCTATACCCTATTCTTTATAAGTACAGTGCTTGTGATTATTGTAAGTGAATTCTCTTTTATTAATTAAGTTGCATATAGCTTCAGGATTTCCCTTTCATAAAATTGAATTGATCAAAATATTTTTATATTTTACAGTTAGATTTGGCAACCTCTGGAAGAGGAGGGATAGGAACCTTCATTGGGGTATGTGTTCTTAGTGCAGCTTTTGGTATTGCTGATGCTCATGTTCAAGGGGGCATGGTTGGTGATCTTGCTCTTATGCAACCTGAGTTCATTCAGGTAATTTCTTCATATTCTAATTGTTTGAATTATTAGAACAAGAGTGTCGCAGTCTATGTCCTTTAGCAAAGATCATCTCGTCATCTGGGATTCGTTGTCACTGTTACTCTTACTCTTAGGGGCTGTTTGGTAGCTCCACTAAATCTGGAATTATGAAATCTTGAGGGGGTTAAATCCTGAAAGTTGTTTGGTACTAAGGTGTGTGTGCAATGGCTGAGCTTGAACACAATGAAGGTGAGGTCAACATAGATATAAGAAGATCAGTAACAAATATCTGTTTATATAAATTGACAGTGGATGGGAAATTGTGGCTTTTTGGATCTATGCAACAATTGTTATTCTTGTCAGTCAACAACGGATAATGGGCAATAATGATCATCAGTGATAGTTGAAGGACAATAAAAATCATGATTATTGGTCAACAAGTAATGCCAGATAAGTCAGGATGGTCTTCGACATAGGTCGGTAATTTCAACACATGTCAAAGTTAAAAGTTGTGTTGGAATTTGGATGATGTGATTGCCGCCTAAACCTGAGGGTGGATTAAGGAGCAACAACAACGAAAAAAACATAAGTTTGGACATTAAATGTGTGAGAATAAGATTACATATTCATATATTTTTAGAAGGAATATTCAGATCATTTCTACAATAATTCTAAATACTTTATGAAGGAGTTTAAAATGATCACATTTATTCTTTAATATTATTTTTTGAACATCCTAGTGCCTAAATGAACTCAAAATCGAATGAATCACGAGCTCATTGGTTCCATCTCATCAAAATCTTTATTTTAATTATCAACACAACAAAATTTGGTGAATTCTTAATCCTCCAAATGATATAAAAATAATTTTAATTATTTTATGAGTGCTAGATTTATTCTTTGTTGGACTCATTCAAAAAAGACTATATTGACTACATATTTATTGTAAATTGAGTTTGAATGATCATATAATCACTTATTGATGTGTGTGATCCAAACACTTGATTACTTTGAAATCTAAAAATTATTACGCATTAGTTATTATATGAATTTTTTTGTGAGTCTAAAAGTACCCAAATCGAATTTAGAATGTCAAAAATTAGTTTGAGATCTTGAAATGTCCTGTAAAGACCACTAATGAGCCTACTACACTAATGGGCCTACTATACGACCCCGACCTAATGCAACAGGCCTGGCCCACCAACCACTGGCTGAACGACACTTCCCACACTTTAATTTCAATTGATGGAATGAGGTTTTCTTACCTTAAATTTCCTCATAGTCAAACTTCAAGAAGAGAGAAAGAGATGCAGAAGAAGGGTGTGAGTCAAGCTTACTCATGAGCCAATTTGAACTCGGCTCGATAAATGGCTCATGAACTGAGCTTAATGAATTAACCTTGGCTCGTCTCATTTGCTCGAGATAAGTACAAAATTGTTATTTTTTTCTTAAATTCAAGATTATTTATTATTTTTCTTTTAACCTGTCAATCTTTTTATCATTTTATTATAATAATTACTGAAATCATAATTATTTTTTCTTTCATAATAAATGTGCTGGCTCGTGAGCTAACTTGATCTTAAACTTAGTTAATTAATCAAGCTCAAGTCAAGGGTGATTCGAGTTTGACTCGACTTGTTTACACCCCTAGATTCATCCCATAAGATTGGTGAATTGATCTAAAATCCTCCCCCTTTTCTTTTGCAAATTTTAACGATTTTATCCTACATTTTCATGTAGTTTTAGCAAGACTTCTTCTTTGTAGACTCCTCAAAACATGTAAGCTTCTAATAATTTACTGCGGGGAGCTTTGCCATCAAGATTCTAAATAAAAACTTAGTGCAATTCTTAATGATGAATTGAGATGTTTTTGTAACCCATGAAATTTTATCATTAAATTTGGATTAAAAAATAATAATTCTATTATTTAAGTTTTACTAATCACAACCAAGCACTATGAATTTTTATTGAAGAAAAAGTTTATTTATAGTATTTTTTCACCAAGTCTTTTTAGGTCTAACTCTACCATTCTTAACATAAGTCAAATCTAATACCTCAACATTTCTAACCGGGTCATCGGAAGGCCTCCGTTTAATGTTACCAAAACATCTAAGACGACTCTATATAATTTTATCTTCCACTGGAGCTACTCCAACCTTTTCATGTTTACGCTCATTTCGTATCCCATCTCTAAGGGTAAAGCCACTCATCCACCTAAGCATCCTCATCTCTGCAACACTTAACTTAGTATTATGCTTCTCTTTTAATGGCCAACATTCGACACCATAAAACATTGTAGGTCTCACAACCATCTTATAGAATTTTCCCTTAAGTTTGAGGGGACTTTCCTATCGCACAACAAGCCCGATGCGTTCCTCCACTTCAACCATCCAACTTGAATTCTGCTGAGAATATCCCCATCTATTTCACCATCACTCTGAACAATCAGAAGCAATTCAAATGAAAAAAAATATCATATAACATAAAATCATAGCTGTTTTTTGGTCTTTCCCTAATAATATTCGTTGTTTTACATACTTTTTTATGATATTAACTAAAGAGATATTGTTATTGTTCAGGTATGTTCTTGTGCTGATTACAATGTATAATGTGTTTGATCTCATTGGAAGATACACACCTCTTATAAAATGTATCTGTATAGAATCTCGAAAAGGCCTTATGATCGCCATTCTTTCTCGTTTCTTATTCATTCCTGCATTCTACTTCACTGCTAAAAAGGGAGGGCAAGGCTGGATGATCATGCTAACATCAGTGTTGGGGTTGACTAATGGCCATCTGACCGTTTGTGTTCTCACCACAGCACCCAAAGGCTATAAGGTCAGTGTTTCTCTTAACATATGTGACTGTCAAGAGGATGAGATAATTCTCATATCTCTTGCGATTCAGGATGCATCGGATGTGTGAGTTCTCGTTTGGAACAATTTTTTTACTACATTCTAAAATGACTTTTTGGTACAAAAATTTCTAATTCACGAAATTTTTATACTAAAAAGCTGCTTTAGAAAGCAGCAAAAAGCTGTCCAAAATAAAACATGAGTCCTGAGTCATGACCATTATTTATTTAATATTATTTTATTGTTATTAGAAAGTAAGAAAAAAGTGAAATAGAAAGTGACATCTAAGTCTTCGTTTGGGATGACTTTCTTTCTATTTCTTAAAGCAGCTTCCTAGTACAAAAAATTTTGTACTAGGAAATTGCTTTAAGAAGCATAAAGAAAATCGTCCCAAATGAAGCCTTAGTCTTCCAGATTGACAACTCCGTTCCATTCTAGTTTCAACCAAATAAACACTTAGAACTCAAGTTTGGAAGTGAGATCCAATCACTTAGGGACGCTTGGGCTTTGTTTGTGACGACTTTCTTACTGCTTCTTAAAATAATTTTTTAATACAAAAGTTAAAAATTTTGTACTAAATTCCGCTTTAAAAAGCATCAAGAAAGCCGTTCCAAACAAACCCTCAGGCTTTATTTGATACAATTTTTTATCTACTTTTTGAAGCTATTTTAAAGTAGAAAAACTATTTGAAGTAGACATTTTAAAGCAGAAAGCTGCTTTATAAAACAGTAAGAAAGTTGTCCCAGATGAAGCCTTACTATGAAACAAAACGACCTTTGTCGCCAAGCGACTTTCAAATTCTAAAAGTTGTATATGAATTCAACTGTTATTTTTTATTCATGATATAATATTAAAGGTAGCTTTCTTGTGCAGGGGCCAGAGGCAAATGCTTTGGGAAATTTGCTTGTTGCATTTCTTCTTGGTGGCATTTTTTCAGGAGTTACATTGGATTGGCTATGGCTCATTGGCAAAGGCTGGTGATATTATTGATCAGATAATGTAGTTTCAATCAGAAACTACTCTGTATCCTCAAAATAAAGAGGAATTATCATATCATTGTGTTTCTATGATAAAGAATGGAGCTTTTATTGTTCCCAATTTAAAGAAATGGAGATGTGGATGTGAATGTATTTCTTGTATCAGATTTCTCAGATTACAATCAAAATGTGATTAGTTTGTTATACAATACCACATTTTAAGCTGCAGCTATTATTCATTTTAGTATTCTCATTTCAAAATTGTCAAATTCAATTGGTACTGTTGATTGACTGAAAGATTGTCCTTAATGTGCTTTGAAAAGTTCATTAAGTTTCAAAGAGTTAATGTTTTAATAATGCTGGATGAGTAATGCTATTCACACTCATTTTCAACATATATTCAATATTACTTGTATTTTGTATATTATTAGAGCAATATTGCACACTTCTATATTAGGAGATATTATTCTGTGCGGATACTGGACCGTTCGGAGGCGAAATTAGAATTCGTCATGTCACCCAGTACATAATTGTAAATAGCAGTGATACACAACCAACATTTGATATGGTGCGTTCTGATTCGCCTACGGACGGTGTCCATATTTACACAATAATTTTTCCTATATTGGGGTGTCAAAATAGGTTGATGGATCAAGTTCGGGTCTGCCCAAACTCAATCTTTTTTGATTGAATTGGCTGGAAATGTCATTTATTGAAACCTCTATTCTATATAGTCAATACATTTTTTACACGTGACAATACAATACATAAAACGGCTAGCTACCTTTTGATGACCCAGTTACGAGAGATGTATTAGATTTGGTTTATGTTAAGAAATATAGAGGTATACCTAAAAAGATTTGGTTCTTAAATATTAGAAATTACATTTCTTTATTTGATTTAAAAGAGAATTTGACTTTTAAAATACACAATGGAGGAAAAAGATTCATATAGCTGTTGTTGTTTTATGTGACAATGCAAAACTAAACAAAACAAAGACAGGATGCCCATAGTTCAAAACCTTCTACTACCTTGAATGATCAGAACTATTAGCAATGTAAGGAGGGGACTGCTTTGCAGAATAAATTATTACATGCGAAGTCCGGATGTGACCTGACTCCAATAAAAAAATGGTCATGTTATTGTGTACAGTGTGTATTGGCAATGTGGCCGCCTTTCATTGAAGTCGGAATGTGAGCTATGTCTAGACTCTGCACGTAATAATTTCTCATTTTGCAATATATATACAATATATGAAATGAATATAATACAATATATATAAACAGTGGCAGCTCCATTAAAATTAGTTATTACAAAATATATACAATATAATTTGTGTTTTATATATTTAACAACAATGTTTCATGCTCTATAGAATCAACACATTTATTATTTTTTAATCAAATTTTAGTCTTAATTAAGCACTAATGCACTAATCAACCAAAACTAACAAATACTAAATGCATGAGATAGTAATTGTGTAAATTTAATAAATATGAAATGAATATAATCTAATTTATATAATAAGAAATTTTGTTCTTAAAATAAATAAAAACAGCTATTATCAATAAATATTATAAATAAATTAATCTTTACAAATATATATATATTTTTTGGGGAAAATTATGGTCTTAGCCCTTTTCATTAATATAAACTTGTTACATGTAATGAAGAAAGAAAAAACAGTAAAGAAAAGATCTTGCCAAAGAAACCAAGATCCAAAAAGGGGCGAAAAACAAAAAACCCCCTGCTAATTCTATAAGAGAAAGAAAACAAATGCAAATAAAGAAAATAAGAAACCAGGACAAGAAGAAACCAAGAAGGATGAGGGAGACAATAAAGCCACGGGCTCAGGAATTGCCGCTCTCTCAATCTGGTTGCAAAAATGATTCCAAAATCTCCTGCCATCCAAAGGAGAAAATGACAATTCTTACATCCCTGCCCATTTTCACTCGAGAAAACCAACAATGCCAAAATCTGCGGACAACCACCCATTATGTTGCCCTCTCGAAGAAGAAAAAGTTAATCCAATCCTCCTTGCCCATTTTCGAGAAACAAAAAGAAAAACAGATGAAAGACAGACCCCTTTCTTCATCCAGAAAGCCAACATTCTTAGGCAAAACAACAACCATTCCCGATCCAAGCTGCAACTCCATATTTCCTACAACAAATTAATCACCTTATCTCTAGAAGACCATTTCATAATTCTAGAGAAAACTGCTGCTTTAATCTTCAGAGTTAAAGTTGTAGAAGATACTGATGAGGTTCCAAATTTCCTTTCATTCATTTCTCTCTATATAAAATAAATTGAAGAGCATATAAGAAGATAATAAAAGTGTTTGTTCTTGTCATGAGAATCCTTAATATACTTGAAAATTTGCAGCACATTGGGCTTTAACAGTAAAAACCCAAGGTTGGACATAAGCATATTGAGAATAGAAAAAGAATAGTCACACTCGAAGAAAAGATGACTAACAATCTCTGCATAACAATGACATAAAGAACATTTGGGATCCACAATGATACCCTTAGCTAACAAAGAGTCAGCAGTTTTTAAGCCACCAGAGATAGCCATCCAACAAAAAGAGGAATACCTTAAGATAAAGTGCTTATGCCACACAAATTTCCACCAATTCACTTTAACATCTTGTTTAAAATAAAAATCCCTAAAATTCCTGTGCTTACACACCTTACCAGTATCCCAAGACAGGTTAGCCCAGGTAGTAGGAGTAAGGGGAATATCAAAAAGAGCAGTATGAACGGCTTGGGGCATGGAATCAGGCAAAGCCCATGTATCCCCGTTTATAATAGCAGTAATCCTCTCATTAACAGGAAAAGCACATAGAAGGGGCCGAAGTTTAGCGATGTCTCTAACACATTTATCTTTATACCAGTGATCCAAGAACAAAGCAAAATTAGAATGAGCTGATACACTTAAATGAAAGTTATCTTTTGCCAGGTTTGCATCCCTACAAATATACTTCCAGTACTTAGAAGCTTTAGAAATCAGATCTTTCCAAGGAGATATGTAAAGGCTTAACAGCCAATTGCTAAGAGGACGATTAGCATTATACATTCTAGTAATAAGAGAGAAATTAAAACTAAATTGGAGAGATTGCAGGGAAGGTAAGCCAATGCCACCCAGGTCTTTAGGCTTGCATGTATTACTCCAAGATATTAAGTGCAATTTTTTAGCTTTAGAGTCGCCAAAGTAAAGGAATTTAACACAAATATATATTTAATCTGCTCATTCAAAATTTAAAATGTCTTATTAGTCTTTTGCTTTTTGTAAACATGTACTTTTAATTATTGATATTTTACTTAATTTAGGGCATCTGTGTTCATTATATATATTATTTTTTTATTTTTTATTTTTAATAGAATACATTGATGGGGTGCATGACATTGTAGATTTTACAAACTTTTATAAAAAAATTTCACTAATTCATATATGATTAAAATTTCGTTTGGAATGACTTTTTTATTGCTTCTTAAAATAATTTAATAGTAAAAAATTAAAATTTTTATACTAAAAAAGCTTTATGAAGCAATAAGAAAACCAAGCCTAAATCTTTTATTAACTCATTTATTAATAAAGGGTTGAGTTAGATAATTCTATTAATTATTTTGTAAGAATTTTAAATTATAATAATATTAATTTCTCCAACACAAAGGTTGACCCGACCCGATCAACCTGACCTGAGCTATTAGGACGCGATCGTCTGTTTCCCTCGCAGTTCTACTTCTGTGCTTATTTCGCACGATTCGATTCTCCGATAGCTATTGTAGTAGAAACCCTCCCGTAGGCTTTCCATCTTCTTCTTGTTTTCTCGCAATGGCTCTTGATGCTCTTGAGAAGGTAAGTTTTCCATGACCACCATTTTTTTCTTCTCTTTGCCGCCCTTCACCTCGACGGGGATAGTATCTTCTTATAAATCTTATGGGGCTGTTTGGCAGCACCTATGATTTCATTTAAGTAGGATTTCATAAATTCGGATTTAGAGGATGTAAAACCCTTCAAAAAGCTGATTTTTTTTAGTGCAGTTCGTCTGTACGAACTGGATTCGCTCCTTCGACGACGTTCCCTTTGGAGCGGAAGTTACGAAATTTTTTCGCTCGAAACAACAACGGGAGCTTGCTGTGAAGATAACTTTCTCCCTTTCGCGCGCTTCTTCGGCCAATTCCCGTTAATCCGCCGAACCAAAGGATTTCGTAAATCCGGGATTTACCACGAAAGAGGGAATTTTCCGTCAACCGCGGCTTTGATTTACGGTGAGATTTGGTTTTGCATTTTTGGCCGTTTGGCTGGATTTAGCTCAAATCCGCTTCAAATCCGGTCTAAATCCTGCATCCAAACAGCCCCATATGATCCTGGTCTATGTTTTTTATTTTGGGGTTTAAACCCATTAAAGCACTTGCATCCTTTTGAGAGAGCGAGTGAGTGGGATGTCGATCTCGACTGCAGCGAACGCATTGGAGGCGGGTGCGATCGTTGCTCATGATGATGGGTGGCGGATTGAGTGCCAAGCAATAATGCCGTAGCTCTTCTTCCATCATTCTTTTTTACTTTCTTCTTTCCGCTTCTTCGGTCACTGAAGAGGGCAGCTATCCGCTTTTTCTCGGAGTGGAATGAGCTCTATGTCGTTCACATTGTTCTCCCTTCTTATGGCCTTAGACTCGAGAATCCTAGATTATTGAAGGGGATTTAATCTTGATAATATTATAAAATAGGAAATTCTTATGTTGTAACTGATGATTAGGCTATCTCCAACCGAAATACTCATTTTACGTTATAAAATTTAGTAATACTCCAAAAATGTAGTAATTCATCTCCAACCGAACTCCATTTCATAACATCAAAAAAGAATATACCATGTATATCCTTTCTCCAATCAAATTTCAACCAAACAAAATGACAAAAAAATGGCATTCCTGAACAATGCGACGTCAATATTGGTGTAGCACCAAGCACAACCTGCAAGTAAACCAGCAGCCAAGGCAAACACAAGAGCAATGGAACAGTAGAAAACGAGTTTTGTTTCTATTCTTTATGATTCTTTCTACATGAAACATTGTTCATATAGTGTTGGTAGTATTGTAATTAAACTAAATACTTAGGGTAAAAAGAGTATATGTACTAATAATGATAAAGCTGCAGCATAGTGGGAATAACGGCTTGATAGTGATAGCTTGCTAGTGGCATGTTGAAGAGGTGTAAGTTATCCCTTATTCTTACAGTATGGCTGCACCACATCAAGTCAGGTGTATGGTTGCACCGCATCAGGTCCCTCCTCCCGGAATTTCAGTGTCCACATGAATGTTAGAGTAGTCTGGCGGATGATATGCAGTGATATCTGCAACATTAAAAGTTGCAGAAGTGTGGATGTGAGGCGGAAGTTCGACAATATATGCATTATCATTGATATGTCGAACGATAGGAACCAGGCCGATTTTGCGGGGACTAAGTTTAGAGTATGTACTAGATGGAAACTGCTCTTTACGCATGCAAACCATGACCAAGTCACCTGGTTGAAACACTTGCTGACGTCGGTGAAGATCAGCGGCGTCTTTGTAAGCTGCATTGGAAGTGATCAATTTGTTGCGATCTTACGTTAACACATCGTGGTACTGGTCCAGTAATTGGGTTGCTGTTTTGTCAGAACACTTAGGTAGCACATAGATATTAAAGACATGATTGGGGCTTTTAGTGTAGACAATTTGAAAGGGGCATTTTTCCGTAGAACGATTAGGCATGGAGTTGTAAGTGAACTCCACCTGCCTCAAGAAATCTTCCCATTGCTTCGGATGGCCTTGGACTAAGCAATGTAGCATGTTGCCCAAAGTACGGTTAACAACCTCAATTTGACCATACGATTGCGGGTGATAGGTCAAACTAAGGTTAATCGCTGGGTGTAGGCGCTTCCACATTTTCCGCCAGAAATGGCTTATAAACTTGACGTCGCGATCTGAAGTTATGCTTCGGGGCAGTCCGTGGAGACGGACGACTTCATGAAGAACAAATGAGCGACATGTATAGTGTCAAGAGTCTTTTTGCAGGCAACAAAATGTGCCATTTTTGAAAAGCAATCCATGACAACCATAATGGAATCGCAGCCTCGCTTAGTTCATGGAAGCCCAAGATGAAATCAATGTTGATGTCTTCCCATATTGACTCGAGAATAGGCAGTGGTGTGTATAGCCCCGTGTTATGCTGAGTGCCTTTATATTCTTGGCAAACTTGACAACGCTCCACTAAGAGAAGGACATCACGATACAGCTTTGGCAAAAAAAAAAGGTTCTGGAGCTGGCTTAATGTTTTGTCACGACCCAGGTGGGCCGCCAAGCCCCCACAATGAGTTTCAAGTATTAACTGATGTCTCCATGATGAAGAAAGAATACAAAGGGTATACATATATCCATGGCGGATGGAATAATCACCCTGAGATTGGCCTTCATAACAAGCTCTCCAAATATTTGCAAAATCAGTATCGGTGGGGTAAATTTCCTGTAGAGATTCAAGCCCGCTTATCTCCGTTTACAATTGGGTGAGCAGTGCTGTCCGCCGGCTTAGTGTGTCGGCGACACGATTTTGACTACCAGACTTATGCTTTAAAACAAAAGTAAGCTTTTGAAGAAAGAGCACCCACCGAGCATGCATACGGTTGATAGTTTTCTATATATTAATGAATTATAAGGCCCGATGATCGTTGCAGAGTACAAAATCTCTATGCAATAAATAATGCTCCCAATGCTTGAGAGCTCGGACCACAATATATAATTCCTGTTCGTAAATGGTCCATCACTGTCGAGCTGGGCTCAATTTTTCACTAAAGTATTCCACTAGCTTGTCCAGTTGGGATAATACGGCATCGATGCCAATTGCGGAAGCATCTGAATCCACTTGGAAAGGAACATCGAAGTTTGGCAATGCTAGAATAGGCGTCGTGGTGATGGCATGTTTGATGGAATCCCAGCTCCTTTGCTTTTCTTCATCCCACGAAAATTGTTTGGCCTTTAAGCAGTCAGTGAGAGGTGCCATCAAGATGCTGAAACCACGGATAAATTGACAGTAAAAATTTGCAAGGCCGTGGAAGCTTCTAACTTCGAACAATGATCGTGGTTAGGGCCAGTTCAACACAGCTTCAACCTTGCGTGGATCTGTGGCAATACCCTCAGCTGAGATGATGAACCCCAAGAAATAGATTTATGTAGAAGAAAACTCGCATTTAGCAGGATTTAGGAATAATTGGTTGTCACGAAGAGTTTTCAAAATCAAGGTGAGGTGTTGTATATGTTCTTCCAACAATTTTCTATAAATTAAGATGTCATCGAAATAAAAAGCACAAAAGTTGTTAAGGTAATTTTTAAGTACCTCATTTATCATGCGCATGAACGTGGCCGGGCGTTGCAGAGGCCAAATGACATTACTCGTCATTCATATAAACCGGAGCTCGTTTTAAAGGCCGTCTTCCATTCATCACTAGGCCTAATCCAAATTTGTTGATACCCGTTGTGTAGTTCCAGTTTGGAGAAATACTTGGCATAAGCGAGTTTGTCCAGCAGCTCTTCCAGGCACGAAACAGGAAAACAGAACTTAGTTGTGATATTATTGATAGCTCGACTATCTATGCACATCCGCCATTTGTTGTCTTTCTTAGGAACAAGTAATTTTGGGACGGCGCAAGGGCTTAAACTGGGCTGGATGAGCTGTTTATCTAAAAGCTCCTAAACAATTTCTTATAGGATCTCGTGCTCCTTTGGACTCATTTTGTAAAGCAGCAGGTTGGGTAGATTGGTGCCAGGAACCAAGTCTATTTGATGTTGAATATTACGGATTTGAGGTAAGCCTGGTGGGAGTTCGGTTGGTAGTAAATATTGCTTGAGCATGACGCTGTAAAGGGGTCTCTTCTTTTTGTGTTGGACTGTTAGTCACCACTGTAGCATATAGCTCACCTTTGGATCTCTTTGCTAATAGAATAGTACCCGTCAAAAGGTGAAATGTTGCATTGTCCTTGCGCGTATGAGTACTACTTGAGTTATAGTGCGGTAAAAACCGCAGCATTCTTCCCTTCCATTCAAGTGAATTGGCGTTGAGGCCCCCATCGTAGATTACCCCATTATCGTATTGCCACGGGCGGCCTAAAATGACATTTCACACATCCATCTCAAGGACATCGTAGAGAATTTCGCAAGTGTAACTCTTGCCAATGGAGAATGTGACTCTGCACATCTCAGTTACTAACATCTCTATCCCTTTTTTAACCCAACTTATTTTGTAAGGGTGCAGATTTTTGGTTGTTTTCAATTGAAGTGCTTGCACCAATGAGCAGGTCATAGACCTTGTCGTTGATGGTGCATCAGGTACGAAAAATGGCATTGCGTTGGGAGGTGTTAGGCTGCCTTGAAGCTAGCAATAGGCATTCCATGACACATAAAATAGGTTCCCCTTCATCTGCTACTAAATCCTCTGTTTCCGGATCCATATCACCAATCTGCTCAACAACATTTTCTTATGATTCTCCTTCAATAATTTGGACCTGCGGCTAGGTTGGACATTCATTGGATTTGTGACCGATTTGAAAACATTGGAAGCATTTCAATGTCGAGGGTCTCGTATAAGGATTCTCCTTGGCGGGTAATCTGGGCTTGGGCGGTATTTTAGGATCAGGTGCATTAACCGGACTGGTGTTCGCCGCCGGTGGATGAGTAGGATTTGTCTTCAAATTTTGTCCCGTAGTTCGCAGCTCAGAATACTATTCAGATGGCTTCCTTTGATAGTTGGAGCTACGAGATGGTCGGGTCAACTGAAGTTCAGCCTTAAGGGCGAAATTGACTACTTGTGACAACGTCCAAACGAAATCGAGTTCCAGTTTGTCCTGTTTGGCTTCTTTCAAGCCTCCGATATAGCGGGCAATGAGCTGAGTCTCCGACTCGTGTAAATTGTTACGTGCACTTAACCTATATAACTCTTCAGTGTACTCACTAACAGTTCTATAGCCTTGGGTAGAATGTTGATACCTGACATAAAGAAGCTGCTCGTAATCGGTCGGGAGAAAATGTGATCTCATCATTTGCTTCAATCTGGCCCAGCTCTGAATGTCTCCTTTTCCTTTCCGCTGCCTATTCTGCATCACTTGCATCCACCATGCGCCCGCTCCTCCTTTCAACCTGCACGCAACGTATTTCACTTGCTTTTCAGGACTGATGTCCATGCAGTCAAAGAACGCCTCAACCGATCGTTCCCAGCCCAAGTAATCTTCAATGTGCAAGCGTCCCTCAAAGAAGGGAATGTCGAGTTTAGCACAGAACTCTTGATGAGGTCGGGGATACAGATACCTTCCTAGTCTGATCTGATAAGGATATTCATGTTCACCTTCTTTTGAATCCGACCGTGGGAGTGGTCGCTGCGGAGTGTGCTCCTCCTCCGAATTGGATAAATCAGGTACCGCGATTGGGTTTCTCCGCTCAATGCATTCAACGCCGCCAGTCGTCCGTCCCAGGTGGAGCTCTGTTGGCGCCGCGGGTTCGGATCTACTTCATTTTGATTCTGACAGTCTCGTCGGACCTCAAGAGCGAGTTGTTTTACGTCGGCGGTGAGAGCTGTGAGTTGATTGGAAATGGTGGTTTGCATCGCCCACATCGCGTCTAATCTTCGATCATCGTCGGAAGCAGCTCGTCGGCTAGTTTCCTCCATTGACACCGGCCCAGGTGTGACTCTGATACCAAATTGGTGTAGCACCAAGCACAACCTGCAAGGAAACCGGCAGCCAAGGCAAACACAAGAGCAATGGAACAGTAGAAAATGAGTTCTGTTTCTATTCTTTCTGATTTTCTACAGGAAAGATTGTTCATATATTGCTGGTAGAGTGGTAGTATTTTAATTAAACTAAATACTTAGGGTAAAAAGAGTATAGGTACTAATAATGATAAAGCTAGCAGCATAGTGGGAATAACGGCTTGATAGTGATAGCTTGCTAGTGGCATGTGCAAGAGGTGTAATTTATCCCTTATTCTTATAATATGGCTGCACCACATCAGGTCAGGTGTATGGCTGCACCTCATCAAATATTGGGATTGCACTATTCACCTGACGCAAAATGTCGCTGAATTTGGCATTTGGTTGGGGCTCGCGGTGACTGTAAACAATCGTTTGGCGTTCGGTTAGAGTTGACCTTACTTATTAATCAAATTTGTCCAAAGGAGGAGTTGGAACTTTGCTTAGATTAATTTTCTTCAGAAAAATTGTAAACTGGAGTAATTATAATTGATCGTTGATGAACTTTTGTTAATTTTTATTATTCGATAAAAGTTATAGTTAGTTTAATTTGAGCTTCAACATTGAGAGATTATATGGTGTGAACTAGGGTTATAGAATCCTTAATTTATGGTGTGAAATAGGGTTATAGAAACCGTAATTTACATAATATAGTTTCCTATTATTTGACAGAACATTATTGAGTATGTACTCTAATATGTGGTGCTTGTACTAGATGGGAATTTTTTTAAGTCAATATTAAAACTCAAATTGGGGTAAATTCTTGATTGGGGACTAGCTTCCTAATTTTAGAAAATTTAATAATATATTAAAATCTCAAGAGTTAAATAATAATCAATAATGAAGCGATAGTTTTTTGTTAATTTTTTTTAATTGTGATGAGGTTTAGGAATTGGGGTTAATTATGATTGATGTTCTTAGATGGAAACAATTTTGTTTGGTTTCACATATAGTATTAATTTAAAAAGATTTATATGCATTAAATTTAAGATCAACTATTCTCTCTTTTTATTAGATGGCTTAAGTTGCATCATGCATATTTTAATTTAGTATAGTAAATCTAATACCAACCCTTCGTTTTTTATTCAAAGTTTCAAGATACATTATTCAAAGTTTGATTTAGTGTTATTTACCTTTTTGCCAGTTTTCCAAAATTCCAATCTTGATCAAACTAGTGCTAATTCACAAAATGATTCTCAGTAAAATTAAAGCAAACTAAATTGAGCCACAATAGGTTTTCTTAGTTCTAATTTTTTTTTAAAGTTTAAATCCATATATGTTAGATATATGGATAGATTAAGATTTTTTATTGATTACTTAATATACAAGAAAATCAACATGGTAGGCACGAATATAGAGCACAATTTTCCATAGTCATGCGATACAAAATTTCATGTTGAATGTTACATTTCAATTTCAATCTTTTACATTATGCAGCGTTGATGGCTTTAACGGAATATCAACATTTCTCTCTGAAGGGAAAAATAAATTGTCGAAATCCTAACATGAAGCTCCATAACGGACATCACGGGCTTATTGATTCTATCTATCTGATTTAGAATTCATGGTTATGACTCAATTATTATTGTTTCTTGACTGATGCATGCACAATGGCCGAGGTGCATCAACAGAGTTTTATCAAGAAGCTTCATTTTAGCATTTCAAATGGCATGCCTCACGCAGAACCAGTCTCTAGCTTCAAGGCAGATGAAAAGGAACTGGTATTTAAATATTCTTACGCCCTTTTTTTCCAATTCGGTTGTTCAGGCTTCTTTGAGAATATTTATTTGGAGAACAATGAACCGTCTTTTGTTCAGGTGCTTTTGCAGACTAATGGGTCATTTGGGACGGTTTTTTTTAATGTTTCTTAAAGCAGCTTTTTAATACAAAATAAAAAATTTTGTACTAGAAAGCTGCTTTAAGAAGCAATAAAAAGCCGTCCCAAACGAAACCTAATAAACACTAGTCTGCATGGCTTTCTGAATTCATTGCCGCGAAAAAAGAAAAAGAAAAAAAAAATAGAGTTTTCCTTCTCAATGCTCTTGAACAATAGGCTGTGTATGGCTAATTGGCACTTTTCACAATCGTGATTTGTATATGAACCCTTAATGACATATTTTATACCTAAAGCTATAGTAATGCTTCTTTTTTGATCAGGTACATGGCATCTTACAGATGCTGCAAGGTTTCTGCAGCAATTTATTTTCTTGGGATACTGGTGGGCAAATATTTCTGGTGAAGAGTGGGATTTTTTCTTGTCATCTATCCCAGACTAGTCTTCACAGCATTTTAAACAAGTTTATATTCTGTGGAACATGCTTAAAGAAGGTGGAACTCTTTGTTAAGAATGTAAAAGCTTCTCGTCAAAGAGCTCCTACCCTTCAGGCTTTTGCTCATTCCGTCCATTCTTGGCTCAAGGTAATTTTGCTCTGCATGATGTCTACATTAGATATCTGCATCTGCTGATTTTTATTTATTTTTGTGTAATCTCTTTTATTTTGTATAAAGAGATTGCGGGATCTTGCTTTGAAAGAGGAAATAAGGTCGACTTCTATAGATTGCCAAATAACAGTTACACTCCTTCAGCTGACCAATTCCTTATCAAGGTCAGGCAGTTTCATTGTAATCTCAATTATTTTGACTTGCTTGAAATCTTCTGTTTGCTATCTTTGGTGAAGGTGTTCTCTCAAACGAAAATTTTCACTCGCCCCGAACAAGTTCATTATGCATCATTAATTTTAGCTTGGTTATTTTCCATTCTTTGCTTAGATGCTAAGTAGTTCCTTGATGAAGTTAAACAAGTTTTCATGGTGTTGAATCCATAGACCTAGTAAAGTGTGAACTTGAAGTCATGTTCATGATCTTAATATTTAATCTCAGATCAGTTTTAGCAAGTTGTTATTTACATGTCTAAAAGTTATTGTCTGCGTAATCTATCTAGTTCAATTTGGAGTTATCCTATTACAATTATGTGTAGACTTGGAAGATATGGTTATATGTCAAAGGAAACCCCTGATTGTTGTCCTGTTTTTCATTTAGATGCTCTTAATTAGTAAAATTTCTTTCCTTCCCCGATCCTTCCAATTCTCAATTAGTTGTATGTGTTATTTGTTATTTATTAGAGATTCTTCCTGTGGAATTTTGTTGAGGAGAAGGATTTTTTATCCGAGCTAAAATAGTTGGGAAGGATATTGACGGTGATGAGTTTATTAGTATACTAACGTTGAAGTTGCAAGATCAATTACCAAGCACCTTTTATTGTTTTATTGAAGTATTGCAGTTGCACTGTAATGAATAGTTTCAAAACTGTTATTATTTAGTTAATAATAGAATTGACACAAAACAAAATGATATCTTATGCCACCTTGACTGCTTGCTATATTTTCAGAAATATTTGAGTGTTGCTTTTGGCGCATTAGTAAATTTAATCTCCAAGTCAGGATCTTATGATCATTATCCCAACTAGTTAACTCTTTTTCAGCAAAATTTTCTTGAAAAATATTCTAACTATGTTAGCTTTGGCCATTAAATTTACTTGGAGATTAATGGTAGTGAGGCCTGCAATGCTTTATGGTGCCGAATGTTGGCCATTAAAAGAGAAGCATAATACTAAGTTAAGTGTGGCAGAGATGAGGATGCTCAGGTGGATGAGTGGATTTACTCTTAGAGATAGGATACGAAATGAGCATATACGTGAAAAGGTTGGAGTAGCTCCAGTAGAAGATAAGATTAGAGAGAGTCGCCTTAGATGGTTTGGTCACATAAAACGGCGGCCTTCCGATGACCTGGTTAGGAGAGTAGAGGTATTAGATTTGACTTATGTTAAGAAAGGTAAGGGTAGACCTAAAAAGACTTGGTTAGAAAATATTAGGAATGACCTTTCTTTATTAGATTTAAACAAGAATTTGACTTTTAATAGGACACAATGGAGAAAAAAGATTCATGTAGCCGACCCCACGTAGTGGGATAAAGGCTTGATGTTGTTGTTGTTGTAGTATGTTAGCTTTGGCCCAACCCCTTTTCAAGCCTTTTAGGCATATCGATATCTACGTCTTGTGATGGAACATACTTAGAGAAGAACGAATAGAGAACCTCTAATTACTTCGATTTTTTTTTTTCTGTTGTTGAACCAAAAAATCCCCTTGATTCCTTAGTCAGGCAAAGAAAATTGTGTTGATTAGCTTCATTACCTTGACTTCTTTGCAGTTGTGCTTATTTTATATTCCTCTTCCATGTCATGTGATTAATCTCATATGCCACACTACTTTGCAGTATGTGCTCTGGGGCAGAGCATCTTGCTCAAGTGGTGCATGGATCCATACCGAGTGCTTATGTGAATTCTGAAATTGTAATCCCTGCTGATAAGCTGGCAGTTAGTATTCTGAATTTTCTATTCAAGAAAATGAGTGAAGTCTATCTTGTACAAGGTGGTGAGGTTAGAAATATAATCTGTTTTCACCTGCTTTTTTTTTCTTACTGCCCGTTACAATTTTATCTAGACAAATCGTGCTGAAATCAGGAAGAAGCATATCATATGTTGTTTTCCATCATGGGAGAAACTTTGCTTCCATATCTCGAGGTGCTGGACTCATGGTTGTATGAGGGATTACTTGATGATCCTTGTGAGGAGGTATTTGTGATTTTTTATGTTGATTTAGCATTTTGATCGTTTTATTTTTGTTTTAACATGTTTATCTTGATTCATGATTGTTCTCTTACACTCGCTTAAACATAAAAGCTAAAATATGTGCGTGTAAACACAAAAAAATGTGTATCTAGTTCATGGACCTGCTACTAATATAGGGTATAAGAAAAGGTTGATGATGCAACTTTACCCTTACATTTGTAAAATGTTTGTTTTTTGAATCAATCCGTCTTTCTAGAGTACACTAGAGTTTAAGTTGTCTCTTTGTTTATCATACTCATTAGGTCCTCATTTTTCTTGTGGAGGAATTTGATAGGAAACACTTGTAGATCTCAAGTATTTCTTATCAATCTTCGGAAAACGGAGAGTTTTCTCCACAAAACACAAAACCACGAAAGCAGTAGATAATTTATATTATTTGATGAAAGGGAAACATAAATATCAAGATACAATTGATCCTCTATTCGAGAGGATGATCGATCTCTCCCAATCTCTAGACGCCGCTAGAGCCCAAATAAAACCTAAGAGATCTCAAATTTTAGCCAAATTCAGATGACCAAATCCTAGGAAAACAAACTATTTAATGCATACAATTCAAAAGGAAATTTCTAAACAGTCTATACATTCAATTTCCCTCCTAAAATTGATAAAAAGCCCTTCCAAAACTGCATTGCGTTGCCTGGGCGTTGAATCAACATGGAGGAAGTGGAGAGTTCCGCCTCGGTTGTTTGTAAGCCGGTCCGGTATGGACCTGCTGAACCGGTCTAACATAATCACTGTGCAGCTAATACTTGTTTGCCGAAATGGCAAGATGAATTGAAGAATGAGAAAAATGCATAAAGAGTATTTACACTTTTGCTTCGAAGTCTTTATATTCAATGTTCTGAGCATCTTAACTAAATGGTCTTATACCAACTCTTTATAAGGCTTACTATCACTCATAAAAGCTTTTGAAGTGATTTGCTAAATATCCTAGGTAAAAAGGATAACTAATGGTTTCTGAGATAAGTAAATGAACTCTTTTCTTAAGACTTACAACTTAAGGGTCATTTGCTAGAACAATAGTAGTAGCAATCAACACTCCATTTATTCATGGTTTAAATATTTTCTTTTGACTATTTTTTCAGTCTGAAATGTTTCATTTATCGTGATCATTGTTGTTATCTATTTAAGGCCATATTTAAAAATTGAGCCAATTAATGAACTTTTCTAGTTAAGTTTCTTAAAATTCTTTTCCTATCTCAATCTCCACTTCATAGGTTTTCTTTTATGCCAATAATGCAATTACTGTTGATCAGCCATCATATTGGGAGACCAGTTATCTTTTTCGGTTGTCCAGGCCTATGAGCTCTAAATCCAATGATACTCTGGTTGATGGGGATGCTGATTCTACTAGGCTGCGAGTTAGGGGAGAAACAGGAGGTCAGGAATCTGCTCCCTTGTTTAGTTCTGTGGGAGGGAGTGATCAAAGCGATATTAACTGCCCTATGTTCCTGAAAGAACTGGCAAGACCCATTGTATCTGCTGGGAAATCTTTGCAGTTGGTTCAACATGTTCGGGGCGACTACATTTCTTTGCCCGATAAGGGGCGTGGCAGAATGCTCGACTTTCCATTATCAAATGAGTCTGATGGTCAGTTTAACTGGCAGAAGTTTCAGCAGGAGGCTTGGCCAAATACTTTGAAAATACATGGATTTGCAGAAAGTTGCAATTATGCTCGCCTAATGGGAGTTTTGACCTTACCTGAAGTCTTCCTGTTATCATTGGCAGGCTTAATAGGTGATCGGGATCACATTTATCATAAACTAACAATATCCTTCCCTGAGATAGCTGAGATCATTAACAAAGAGAAGATACTGAAAGTAGTTACAGAAGATGGACAAGCATCATTAAGCCTTGAGAAGATATGGATCAAATTCTTGGCTGATGCAATAAAAGAGAGAAGAGAGGTAGAAGGTGGAAAAGGTGATTCTTGCGATAGTGGAATTACACAAGGTCATGGTTCAATGAAAGTGAAACCTAAATATAGTTCAGACCATCATAGCACCAATTCGAAAGATAGTGACATTTTGGCAACTACCTTCATCAGCTCTCTCCACCCTCATATGCCAATCATGACTGTATCCAGACAGTTTATTGAAAAGCACAAAGCCTCTTGGAGTAATCTTAATATATCTCAGTACATTCGCCTTCCTCCTCTGAATGATGAAAGCTTGCGAAAGGCTATTTATGCTGAAAGGTTTAACAGCGCAGAGGCAAGTGGCGATATCCAAAGTGGAAGTTCTCTCCCAAGTTTTTCGGGAACTGACTACAGTTCTGGTTTTCATCATAATGAAGTTAAACTGCTTCACGCAGAAGTTGATATTAGGAATTTGGAATATTTGTATTCCTTTCCAACTCTTCTTCCTTCTTTTCAGGTGTAAAAAAATTGCTTTTGAGAGCATACATTCAGGGCTTATCTAACTTTAATTCTCATGAAAACAATTTGTTTTAGAACAGGAAAATGTCCCAGTGTCAGATCTTCTTCCTTTCCAGAAGAACAGCACAGTTTCCCAAAGAATTCTTAGTTGGATCCAAGATGTAAATTTGAATGCCGCGCCCCAACCTGATGTCATCATAAAGGAATGTCTCGCTGTATATATTAAAAAACAGGTAAAAAGCTTATTTTATTTGTGTTTTTTTTGTTATTTACGATCTGAAACCATGCTTTTTTTCATTTTCTTACTTCTAGATCGATCAAATTGGTAGACATATACTTTTGAAGCTAATGAATGATTGGAAATTGATGGAAGAACTTAATATAATACGGTCAATTTATTTGCTTGGGTCAGGTAGTTTCAGTTTCAAGCTCCTGTTTTTCTGCCAAGTGATTTTGGGGCTTTAAAATATTCTTATTTTCAGGTGACCTGCTGCAGAGGTTCCTTACTGTAGTTTTTGACAAGATAGATAAGGGAGAATCATGGGACGATGATTTCGAGTTAAATACTATTCTGCAGGTTCTTGAACTTTCAAAATTCATGTAATTCTTCTGTTGCAATAACTTATGTGAAATTCTTCTTTTCTAATAATCTGGTAATACTTTTTCAAAAATAGGAATCCATCAGAAATTCCGCTGATAATACCCTTCTGAGTGCCCCAGATTCTTTCGTTGTATCTATTTCACAATCTGATGCTCGAGAAGATGAGGAAAATAAAACTAGCAATATTGCAACACCCCGTCGGGTTCGCGGTCAGTTTTTTGGTATCGATGCACTTGATCTTTTAAAATTCTCATACAAGGTATTATTTTAACGGTGAAATTGATTGTTTCATTTTAGTGCTTCTTGTATGCTTATGATTTTATCTCATAGGTCTCTTGGCCTCTTGACCTGATTATTAATTCAGAGACATTGAAGAAATATAATCAAGTAAATTTACCTTGATGGTGTCCTTTTTCTTCCTTCCATTAAGATTGGTTATCCTTATAATTTTGATTAATTTTGTGCTTCATTCAGGTCATGGGATTCCTTCTAAAGGTCAAACGTGCAAAACATTTGCTCAATAAAGCTCGAAGGTGGATGTGGAAGGTAAGCATGTATTTTTTTTAGTAAAAAAGATATAAATTTACTCCACATTTTCATTATGTTGGCTCAAGGCCAATAAAAATATAAGATTGGCATAATTTCAATTATAAATATAAGGTGCACACAAGACTTGTTACAAAATTAAGTCTATGTAGATATGTAGAAATTGCATAAATTGTTCTCTCATCAAAACATGGGTGACTATATTACCGAGTGGATTATAAGTAGGCTGTGATGTATTGAATATTCCTTCTATATGATGGGTGTTTCTATTATGAACACAGCTTAAACTTTTGTATTAAGAATGATGAGGACATCAGATTTCGACACGTGTACCATCGCCGACGGCGCAGATCGACGGCTACGATCCAGAGCCTCTACTTTTGAGTTCTATAGATTATGTCATGTATTTTCTTAGTTTTTCCGAGTTTGCCCCTGAGGGCATTGTTTGACTTATGTAGCCCCAAGGGCATTTACGTCTTTTCTTTTCTTTCATTTTAGCCTCCTTATATGAGGCAATATGCATTGTATTTTCTTAGTTTTTGAATGAATGAAAGTTTGCCTCTAATGTTCTCTTTGTGAGTGCACTTCTCGTAGATCTCTTAGTGAGTTCGACGGGGAATTTAGATCTCTTTGTGAGTTCTAACTTGCGTCCAAATTCATTGTGCGGAAATCCGGGTTGAAGATAACTAAGGTTAGTGAATTCGTCGCCACTTGATTCCTTGGAGATCTCCCCAATTTTTCTCCCCTTGGGCTTACCGCCGTCTACCCCTCCCTACCTCCCCACCGGCGGCAGCAGGCCCTCCACCCCTGCCTCCTTTGGTCGGCCCCATTACCCGCGAGCTTCCCAGCCCCAGCCGTGAGCCCCTTCTCCCCTCCCCAGCTCAACGATTTCCCTGGCAGCCTTCACAGCCGTTACTGGCTGTGTTGCCAAGCCGTGGAAATCAAGCCTTTAAGGCTTGATTAATTGCTTTCTTAATCAGCCTTAGACATTTAAATTCCATCCGTTAATGGGAATTTGAAATTCCAATTTGTTTCTTGCCTACAACCGTGAAAGGAAACTTCCTTTTATGTGAAATCTGAATAAATTCAGATTTTATTTAAAACCTGTCACTTAATCAGGTGGTCCCCACCTTTTAAAATTTCTGCCCTCTCTCTCCTCTACACAAGGCCGGTTATGCTCCCCATTAATCCCCTTTTAATTTTCTTGATTCTCTCATTAAACTTCTTTCCTAATCCCACCTTCAATTTCAAATTCT